AGCGATACCTGCCAGTTTCTCTATCCTCTGCCACCTCCATTTATAACCAATAACCAACCTCCATCTAATAATACATACAAATATATATAAATAATAATATATATATCAACATACGTAAATAATTTGGTAGAGCATGTGGAGCAGGAAAGCCAAAGCCTGGATCTTCTGCACTTGCAGCAGGCAGAGCGTGGATGGACCAGGAGGCTCCACCATCAACCCCCGCGTCGCTGCCCTCACCCACCACCGCCCCTCTGTTTTCATTTTTTTTCCCTACTTATTGCTTATTTTGGGCATTTCTCTGACACCACGATCTTCGTATCTGGACACTTACAATAAAACTGCCCCACGTAACTAAAACGAAAGGATGGGGACGTTTACACAGCTAAAGGGAGGGGAAAGACACAAACCACCAGAAACCAAAAATAAAAGTCCATGATCCCCTAGGAATTACACAAAACCTCCTTCCAGTCCAAGCACCCACACATAAGTACGGGAGTTTTATCAGGGGAGAGGAAAAAAAAACCCATTTCTTTTGCAAGGCGAGTATCCCGTTTCAGGGAAGAGGCTTAACCACAGGTTGTCCGAGAGGCTGAACAAAGCCAAACCGAAGAAAAGGCAATTTTTAGCAAAACAGGAACAAAACCAAACCCCCAAAAAAGCGCGTGGCTTCTGGCTGGAGTACAGACAGACTTATCTCCGCTTCAGCAAACATTACTGCGTTTAGATGAAAGAAAAACAACCCCGAATCCAAGTGAAAACCATTTAAAAGGCAGAAAGATGGGTGGATAAAAGCATAAAGATGGGTGGACCTAGCGTGAAGAGGCCAGAAGGGCTCAACCTAAAGCAAAAATACAGCACAACTTCTCCTAAAAACCAGAATAAAACCACCTTCATGGGCCCAAACGGTCCCAAGCGAAGCCTGCAGCAGCGCTTCCAAACCCACCAGCAATTACCGAGCTAACTCTGCACCATCCGCCTCCCCACCAGCGTTCGGAGGACGACAGCAAACACCCAGCTCTGCCCGAATTCGGCGTTTTCTTTCCCCTGTTTTGCAACTGGGGAAGCATCGGAGCGCTCAGCACCGACATCACGTCGAGAAAACAAGCGGCTCTGCCCTTCCGCCCTGCCCCACTTCTGCTCTTAAGATCCCCGTTTGCTTCCTGCTCTACGCAGAGCCGACCTCTTCTCGTATTTGCAACCTCGAGCTGCACAATGCATAAAACAGTTCCTTAATTTTATATATTGGAAGACTTCAGGGCTACATTTTTGTTAATAACCGAGGCAGAAGTAAGACTCTAAGGTGGCAGAGGATTTCGCTGGAAGCTGTGGCACCAATTGTTTGCAAAAATAACAAACGCCTTTCCCTAACGACCTCTCCTGGCATCACCGCTGCGCTCGGACAGGGAGCCCACGCCAGCTGGACCAGGCTTTCGTGCTCGCAGGATTAGGACCCAACGCTGACACACCGCAGAGCAGAGCACGCTTTGCAATTCAGAAGGCAAAGAAAACCCCAAGCTCTATCAGCTGAACACAGTAAATAACCCAAACCTAATATAGACTGATAAAAATACCCACGTAACAGAAAAGGCGTCAGCTGGGAGAGAAACAGCCTTTTTCCTGCAAATAAATTTGGAACAAGACTAACAAGCAACTAAACACTTCCATTTCTGGCAGGCCCTGCACGCTGGAGCTGGAAGTTATCGATCCGAACGGGGGCTGGAACCCCTCTGCTGGGAGGGCTGGGGCTGCGGGAGGAGACGGCTGCGGAGAGACCTCGCGGCAGCCTCCAGTGCTCAGGAGAAAGACGGGGCCGGGCTCTTCAGCAGGGCCTGCAGCGACAGGACGAGGGGCGATGGTTTTAAGCTGGAAGAGGGGAGATTCCGACTGGAAATACGGGAGAAACTGGTTGTGCTGAGGGTGGGGGGACGCTGGCAGGGGTTGCTCGGAGAGGTGGGAGATGCCCCATCCCCGGAGACACGCGAGGCCGGGCTGCCCGGGGCTCTGCGCAGCC